GTCACCTCTGTGATGCTAAACCTAATTAAAATGGGACCTCACATAATTTAACCCTTTGTTGCCTGAGAAGAAGGCAGCCTGAGCCCAGATGAGAGGACCCATTACCACAGCTTTTTTTTTAAAGTCTCTTATTCATACGGTTGCTACAAGTCAAAGTTGACTTGGAAATATATAGCTACAATGGGTCTTATCACAGTACACTCAGGCCATAGAGCATCAGAAATATACAGCTTTGTAGTTTTGCAGTATTCCCCATTCTCTCAAATCTCCTAGATTAGATTAGACTTTTTCCTCTCTCCATTCCTCAGACTCCTAGCATGTAATCTGATCATTCTTGGGGGAAGCATAGTTAATTGGTATTGGCATCAGTTGCCAGATGAATAGAAGAAAATTTTTCCACACACCTTTGCATACCAAATTCCTAACCTAGGAAGTCTAGTCCCATGTCACATTGCAAGGTGTGTGTGTGTGAGAGAGAGAAATAGAGGGATAGAGAGATTGAAATTTAAGAAAGAAACAGACAATGACCTTGGTCCAGGAAAGAAGACTACCCAATCAATCCTTGGATTCTTGCCTTTCATGATCTGAGCACTAATCACCTTTGCCTCCTTTCTGGAAGTACAAGTGCTATTAGAAGTGAAGCAGGGAGAAAATGTTCCTTCTTTTCCTCAAGCACTGATGCCAGTACTGATGACCTGTCTTTCTTCCAATGTGATGTGATTAGGTAGGTGCATGTTTGGGAAGGGGGAGGAAATCCAATTTCTCCGAAGCAGGAGGGTTGTATGTGGATGGATGAAAGGGCTAAAATGTAACATCCTGACATACTGACATTACTAAGCTGAATAATTTCTTTCTGTGAGAAAGGTTAAAACTCTTTTTTTGACTTGATAAATTAATTCCCTTGGCAAAATAAAGGAGGCTCCATTAACAACAAGAAAAAACAACACCTTATTTGCACAAGAGGAACATTGCTTTGTATAGGAAAAATAATTTGATTCAGCCACTCAAGTAAGAAGCGATGAAAAGATTATAAGTTTAAGGTTCTTGTTGTTATTCCATGGCTACTACTACTTGATATTGGCACTCATGATCATAGAATCATAGAGCTGGAAGAGATCAAAAGGGCCATCCAGTCCAATCTCCTGCCATGCAGGAATAAACCATTAAATCACTGCTTCTTTGGAGCCTTTGGAATCAACAATTGATACAGTGGCTAAAAAAGCCAATATGAGCCTAGGTTGCATCAATAGGAGTGTAGTGTCTAGATCAGGGGTAGGCAACCTGCGGCCCGGGGGCCGGATGCAGCCCCATGAGTCCTTTGAGCCGGCCCAGGCTGGTCCTGACTCCCCTGCCATGATGATATTGATTATTGTTGTTATTATTTGTTCTTGGGGTTTTCTTGGCAAAATCTCCACAGGGGTTTTGCCATCATGGCTTTTCTGGGGCTGAGAGAGTGTGCATGCATATTTTTAAATTTTATTTTATTTTATTTTTATTATTTTTATTATTTTATTATTTTGCTTCGGCCCACCAATTGTCTGAGGGACAGCAACCCGGCCCCCAGCTCAAAAAGGTTGCCTACCCCTGGTCTAGATCAAGGGCATAAACACACACCATGGCCCCAATTTGCCCTGAACCTGGCCCAAATAGGGGCAGAAAAGATCAGCTCCTATTTGGGTTGGGAAAGAGCTGCCTTTGGTGGCTCCAGCACAGTCCCAGGGTGGCTTCTGGGTGTTCCAATGGTGTGCAGCATGCAAATGCTGTGCCACCATACTGTCTTGAAGCAGCCCATGCCTGGGTGGTCAGTGGCTTCCAGGTGGCTTGGGAGTATGTGGCGTGTGAACACCATGGTCCCAAAGACACCTGGAAGGCAGCTTTAATGGGCTGTCTGTTTTGACTCTGTGTCTCTCACATGAAAGCTATACTTGTGCATTATTTTTAGCATCTTCAAAAAGACTGTATGTTCTTGGTAAGTTTTAGGTGAGGCCTAGGAACCCTAAATGTACCAGATCCTGTCTGTTCTTGGAAGCTAATCAGGGTCTGACTGGTATTTGTTGGTAGTCTACCACTAATCAGGGTCTGTCCTGATTAGTATTTGGATGGGAGACCACCAAAGAATACCAGAAGATGTAGGCTATATTTCAGAGGAAGAAACTGCAAAACCATCTCTGAGTATCTGTTGCCTAAGAAAACTCTATGAAAAATTCATGGGGTCACTATTAGTCAACAGGTGACTGGAAAAAAAAAACATGCACTTACACACAGAGGGAAACATTTTTGTCAACTAATTATTTGCTTCACTTCAGATTTAAAGCATCTGACTGTTTTGATTTCTATTTGCTTAGTTTGGAATAAGCATAGAAATGGAGCTGAGAAAGTTCTCTTGCCAAGTCTGAAAGTTGGACTCAGAAAAAACACTGGTCTGATTTTTTGGGCATTCAAAGGAGGTTCTGGAAAACTGGTCTGTTTATTTTTCATATATAGAAGAGCCAAATGCCTGGATTTATTTGTGCACAAATTATGTACAGTGGGCCCTTGGCATATGCTGGTATATGCTCAAGTCCTACTAAATACAATGGCACAGTAAAATGGTGTCCCATATATAAAATGGCAAAACCAAGGGTTGCTATTTGAAATTTATACTTTTTGGGGGAATATTTTCAAGTCATCAATGTTTGAATCCATGCATAAAGTTTCTGTGGTTATGGAGGACTGACTGTATTATTAAATAATATATGAAAGCTATTCTCTGGATAAATGGTGGCAATCTAACTCTGAAGTATATAGAGTGGTGATAGTAAACCCCTGAGAGGAAAAAAGGGTGCCTTATAGCTGGTGCCTTATAGCCTGCCCTATTTCAAATGATTTGAGGCATAGCCATGACATTTGTCACAGCCACCCTTTCTGGTTAGCTTTGATTTGTAATGGCAACCCTGCTGCCATGCCACTATAGTAGCTGTGAGAGTGGGGTGGGCTTTGCGCCTCTGCAGGGGAGGCAGATCAGCCTGTCAGCATTAGCATCACAGCACTACTAATGCTAGACTGAAGATGGAAGACTATATAAGCCTTGACTGTCCAAGCCTCAGCCTCTTCTGTCCCTCATGTTCATCCTACCCAACCACTGTAGCAGGGCAGTACAAGCATGTGCTGGATGCTTCACAGGCAAGTAGGAATTTTTGGCCTGCATTTCCCAGATTGGATTTTTTCAAAAAGGTGGTCAGGTAGTTTTTGCCTACCCTACATCTATGGACAATGATAAATTAACTTGGGTGGTGTGTAAAATCTAATTTGTTTACATTAGTGAGGCAGTGCCAGAAACTGGAATTGTTCTGACCACTAGCTGGCACTCTACTGCCACCATTTGGGTGAAACAGCATTCCTTGACGTGCATTCTTGATTTTGTAGGGCTTGGATGTTGGAAGAGGAAATAAGGCCAGGATCTTTAAGACCTTTATGACCAGCTTGGATCTGTTCCTTTCCCAAATTCTAAGTTGCTGGGCCTAGCCTGGGAGGGTGTTCCTGGTCAAAATGACAGCTCGACTGATGTCAGACCATAGGATTATGAAATGGCAGCAAGGTCTAGATCCTTACCCTTGTACAATTGAGAAGGAATATGGGAAGAACCCCTTTCCATTCTAGTGAGGCCTCATTGCAGAAGTGGGTTACTGTAGATGTTAAATAAATGTTGCTGTTAAATTGACCCAGCACTGTTGTCTTATCTCTTTATTTCAGTATAGATGCACAAATATACTTTGGGAAAGATGGTCTTATGATGCATAAGAATTGTCATTTTCCCTTTCTTCCAATTTTTTTTTAAATTTCAAATTCTTTCTTGAGAAATGGTGATAAAAGACAATCTGGCAAGTTCTTATATTTTTTTTAAAATACCCTAACTGACTCCTCAACCAGATAAATTCAATAAGTACAAGTTGTTCCCAGTATGGACAACATCATATTGTGCTGTCCTGTCATGTAGCTACTAAAGATGAGGAATATTTCAAAAGAAGAAAAAAGTGGTGACATGCCTAATTTAGCAAAAGAAATAAGAGACATATCTCAAGATTCTCCAAAGATGATCTGCCTATTAGTTGAGAAGCCACACATTTTGTTCTATGAGTGCTCTTATGGTCTTCTTGAGGAGTCCACTTAGAATCAAAACTTCAGAAGATTCTGAGCCATATCAGGAACTCAAAAACTATTTTTAGGTGAATGAAAACCACATTGTAGACCTACAAATATGACCAAATGCACAGTTTTTAAATATCAAAAAACTTGTCAATATATGTTCTTGGAATCTGATAATTTCACTATAACAGTGTGGAGCACAGCCATCTCCTTTCTCTTCCAGAAAACAGATCCATCTGTAGAGTGCTTTGGGTCATCAGGGCCTTGCTATGAAAGTGCTGTCAAAACAAATTGCCACAAGTTTTCTGACAATTCCATTTACCTGTTATCTCCATGTGTCTGGGCCAGGCAGCAAGCACAATACCATAGTGGCTCATTATGATCAATCATACAGACAAAGCAACCTTTACAACATTAAACTCAGGCAAGTAAAAGAGGAGAAAATGGGAATGCCTTTTTAAAGGCAATGTGAGATTTGTGATGCTGTTAAATCACCTAAGAAGCAAAACATGAATGAAACTCTACAGCAGCAAAAGTGGCTTCAGAACTAAACTTAATGCCTGGAGGAATGCAGTTTGGTTTGTCAACTGTCTTCTGTGCTGGCACAATCATCTCCCTAAGGGTCACTGAGTTTCTGTTCAGAGGAAGGAAGAGGTAGCTAGGCATGCATAGGGTTGCATCACAGTGGCACTGACTTTTATCCTGGATAGCACTATTGCCTGAAAATTAAAAAGGAGACCTGACTTCATGTATTCAGTGCAAATGTTTTTGGTGTGTTTCTGTTTCCATCACAATTTGCTCTCTGTTGAGTAAGAAAGTAATGGATAATAAAATTATAGAACTGTAGTTTGAGAGAATGAGAGCCAGTGTGATGTCACAGTTTGGTTTAATGGTTTGAGTGCTGGACTGTAACTCTGGTAACCAGGGTTCAAACCCCTGCTGAGGACCTTTTCACACAGGCGGCTCTAAAGCCGCCTGGAAGCCCCCTGGAAGCAATCAAGAGCCATTCCGGCGGCGAAAACAGCAGCCGCCGGAATGACTCCTGATTGCCTCCGGCAGCAGCCCCTGTAATTCCTTTTTAAAAAAGGAATTACAAAAATGGGGCTAAAGCCGGCTAGCGGCAGGGATGGCGCAGGGATTGCGCAAGATGGGGCGGGGCTTGCTGCGACGTCGTGTGAACACGCGCAGCAAGACCCCGGAGTGAGGCAGGGATGGCGCAGGGATGGCGCTGGATGGGGCGGGGCTTGCTGCGACGTCGTGTGAACTTATCCTGCACAGAGCCGGAGTGGGGCCGGACGGAGGTAGGAATGACTCCGTTTAAAGCCCCGTGTGAAAACGTCCTCTGCCAGGGAAATCCACTGGGTCACCTTGGGCAAGTCCTACTCTTTCAGCCTCAAAGGCAAAACCCCTGTAAATAAATCTTGGCTAGAAATCCTGATGGTAGGTTTACTTTAGGGTCTCCGTAAGTCAACAATGACTTTAACAACAACAAAGTTGGGGAAGATACAAATGGCAATCTAATCCATGATCTAGTTTATGTAAGAAATTAACAGGGGTTGGACTAGATCTTTCTTTTGAAATCTACAGTTCTATGAACAATGCAAAAGCAGAGTAGTAGGAAGTTATGCAGGGAAGAAGAGAAATAGGGATAACACTTTTAATTCTACACCCTCCTTTCTTATCTTTCTTATTTCTTAGCCAAATAAAGTTAAAGCAGTGTGGCTTATGTTTAGTGAGATTTTATCTATGCAATTGACCATATATTTCTGCCCATTTTCTGCTTTGATTTGTCCCAAAATAAAACTCTGTAGATGTTTGTGATGAAGTGTTTGCCACTCATCTGCTACTGAGGAAGTATACACACCATTGTATCCACTGAAATAAAACAGAAGGATACCAGAGAATACTTTATACTAGTGAATTGGATTCATTTGATTCATTGCAATGGGATAATCCATTTATGAGTTATTTTAAATGGTTTCATCTCCAGCAGGCAAGATGAAATGAAGCATGGATAATTTTAAGAGTACTTTTGTCTAAAATTATACTTTATTTACCAACATGTAAACTAACCATCTATGATGAGGTATGAAAATTACATCAGTTGTGTGTGTTGGGACAAAGAATTTTAACACTTATTACACAATTACATACATGGGTGTTTATTTTTTACAAAAAGAAAAAAATCTCAAACAACCCCAGAATTTAATAACTGCTAGGAGGAATATATTAAAATGAGTATAAGAAAAGAATAACTGAAATGACTCTTTATTTATTTGTCCACTTGGGGGTAGTAAAGGATTTAACTGTGAATGCTGGGAACCATAAAGTAGCTGAATAAAAAAACATCCTTACTTATCATGAGGTGAAATTTAGAGTGCATTGATGTCAGACATGAACTGGAAAAGCAGCCTGTGAGTCTTGAGTCCTTTGCTAGCAGAAAGATTGGGTATAAATAAAATAAAGAGCTTGGCATTTATTTGAATTGGGGTACAGTTCTGTTTAACTGGAGGAAACCAGGGAACTAGGTGTATTTCTGAATAAAGATGCTTCATGTAATTGCTTCATGCCATCTCTTAAATACAGAGTAAAGTACAATAACATCCAAAATTCACAAAACAGTGATATCTTTATTGGTCCAGGAAGTACCTTTTTGTGTTGCTAATGGAGTTTAAATTTTGTTTTCTGGCTTTTATGACTGTCACCCAGAGCCCATATGACCAAGGGTAGGAGTGGCCTCAGCCTACATGAATATCCCTTCATACCATCTTAACTGAAAATAGTAACAACAACATGTTGGCAAAATGTAGGTCTGTGACTCTAACATCTTAATATTTTCCTTTCTTTTATGTGATTTTTAACACCTTTGCCTGAATAAAAAGTCAGTAGAGCTTTGAAAGCTTGCATCAAGTATTTTGGGCATTTTGTCTGGCTTTCTCCTAATGTTAGGGCTGCCTCTGTCAATTAAAACAAGAATAATCCATCCAGGGTAAATGGTGGGGACTGCATCTAGGCCGTCTCACAATAGGTGATTTTCACCTATAGAGCCTGTCTGACTCCTGGATGGGGTTATCTGGCTCATGATGCATGCCATCCTTACAATGCATTCACATAAGGCTGAAGTGTAGATATTTACTTTAGAACTAATACCAGATCCAAAATCAATGGCAACAATTCATCTCATTGGCCCAATATAATCCATAGGAGAAATTTTAGCTGGTTGATGTTTCCCTATTCTAGGGGCATGTAAAAATTATGGGTGTCTTGGAAAGGTACATAGGGATTGTTTGTTTGTTTGATTGTTTGTTTAAATTGAGAACTTTCTGTGAATCTAGATGTTGCTCAAGATTCTTTGGGAAATATCACAACTATTTAACTGCTACAAAACTGTTTTAAATACATTTACAGTGTAAATATACATACCAACATTTTAGCATGTTGTTGGCAGATCACATATTGGAAAAACACATATTTAGAGATGAAAAAACATGTTTAGCAATCAGATTAAAATAAATTTAGTGGTTTTTGATTCATTATGGTCTTACAGGGTTCATACTTCTGGTACCAAAAATGTAGATTATTCTCATACAGAAAATTGTCATATTTATGGATCTTCCATAGCCAACCAACATATGACAACTGCATTTCAGAAATCAATGACATTTGTAATCCATGTTTGACTCCAAATTGATTGTTAGTCTGACACCAAAACTTGCCTGAAGGAGCATATTTCAGTATTAAACTCTACCAATCTATAAAACTGTGCCAGATGAGACATTTTTATTTCAGTCTTATGCTGAAAAAGGTCTGATTCCTTCATGTAATGATAAGATATGAAGAGGTAAATATTTGGCAGTGACAGAATACCATTGCTGTTTTAATAAGAGCACAGATTATATAGGCATAAACCTAATGGGCAGACAAGTCAAGTGAACCCATTCAATCAATACAATACAAGTCAATATTGATATAAGGCCTGTGCAGGCTGGCCAAAAGGGCTAGCCTGGGGGTGGAGTTGGAGTGGGGCGACTGCACGCTGGCTGCCCCAACGCTGCCATCATGCCACATGCCCCACTGCATGGCGCATGGTGTCAGGGTGCCCCATTGCCACAGTGTGTAGATACACTGCACCAAAGGGGTGCAAAAGAGCTACAGCAGCAGCACTAAGGGTGGCTTTCTGCCATTCCAAAAGGAGCAGCATTTGCCAGCTCTTTTTTGAGTGGCAAAAAGCTAGATCAGGGCCACAGCATGTGGTTGTCACATCCCTGATCTGACACCCCCAGGGTGACACAGAGCCACCTCTTAGGGGCTGTCTGTACAGCCCAATACTTATAGTGGAAAAAGCAGATAAAAAGAAAATAAACTCATTTGAGATGTAGTGCTGGAGAAGAGTACTGAGAATACCATGGACATCCAAAAAGTCAAACAAATGGGTCCTTGAACAGGTCAAGGCTGAACTCTCCCTGGAAGCCAAAATGATCAAATTGAGACTGTTGTACCTGACCACATCATGAGAAGGCATGAATTATTAGAAAAGAAAATACTGCTAGGAAAGGGAGAAGGTGGTAGAAAGTGAGGAAGTCTGCACACCAGATGGCTAGTCACAATTAAGGAGGTCACGGGTATGAATCTACAAGATCTAAGCAAAGCAGTAGATAGAGAGGCTTGGAGATATTTTATCCATAGGGTCCCCATGAGGTTGACTTGAGGCCAGTTAACAACAAAAATATAAAGCTTCTGTTCACTCAGTGGTTTTACTCTTGTTGAGACTAACAATTAGATTTAATACATGGGTGGTTTTTAAAAATTCTCTTCTGGAACAGTAGATCCCAAATGAAACATAAATAAATTGTCATTAATAACCCAGTGGTTTTGTTTCTACAAAGAATGCTTACGATGCTGCTATAAGGACATTATCACACGTGGGCCAAAAAGCGATAATAAAGTGGAAAT